CCATAAAAACACGACTGACGATTAAATACTAGTCAGCCATTTTTAAACAAGGTCTTGCCAACCAATTCACTGCGCATGCCCAGAACTACGTCACGAAGTGCTTCGGCGAACCTCCTCATACTAGTAGTCTTAAGGTTAAGTTAAACCAAGCTATAATTATTCAGAGAATAAAAACACGTAAGTTATATCTACAGCTACCATAAATGTTTTGTACCTAGCTAGACTATTTTACAACTCACTAAAACGTTTTAATTATATATATTATGCCTAAACAGTGATAATATTAAAGCACAAAACCAGAATCTTATTTTAAGACTCTTTACTGAGTAAAAAGTTTACATTTTTCCCTCTAGGCTAAAAAACACACACATAAAAAGACGTAATTATTAACCGACATTATTCCACGACTACAATCATAAACTTGCAATATATATTTATAAAACCTAATCATATTACAGCTCAAGACTTTTACAACTATCACATAACTAATTTGTATGCAAGTCGTACTTAATGACACCTACAAAATACAACAACAACAACAAATCAAATTAAAAGACGAAGTGGTTCTTAATGGCACCGACAAAATTAAACCAAAAGTAACAAAAATAAATAGCTCTCCGATCACTGCTGTGTTTGTTTTAGATGTATAGCCCTTTACTCACCATTAACACCCAAAGTATTTTAAATTACAACTAAACCTAACGTACTTTAATTATTTGTTTCGCTATTCCAAATAACTGGCTCAGTGGTACGTCTGTGGAATTATAACTCTAAAAATTGGGTGGGAACAGCACTGATAGCCCATTGTGTAGGTTTAATACAAACAAACGAAGCAGCACTTGCAAGCCGTGAATTCGGTGAAACTAGTCTGTTGTAGCGTAGGAATAGCGAATCAAAAGGCCTACTTTGTCTTTTATTTGTTGATATTCGCGTTTAGGTGAAGAAACGCAATAAACAAATAAACAGACTTTCAAACTCTGGTATTGAGTGAAATGAACATGTTGACATAGTGTGGTTTTAAACCCAGAAAAATGTTAAGGACCAAATTACGAATTCATTGGTTTAAAATGCAATAAGCCTAATACTATTTACCACAAAAATAGTTGAATATATTTAATAATTAATAACAAACTTATACAGTTGAGATGGCGCGCCCAACGATATCATAGTCTGTTATTTTCGATGAACAGCTTTATAAATGTTTTTATAATTTACGGAAATGCTTACTCAGTAAATTCTAGTATAAACGACTGAAATAATATATTATTGGTTTCACCTGAGATATTGTATGTCATATTGTTTAAAGGTCACGTACTCTGTTATGCCAAACTGTAAATTTGTCCTTAGGCTGAGTAACGTAGATTTCACGTGTTAACCTGGACGCGCTAAACTTGTTTGCGCAGTTTCGAAATTAAAGTTGGGCTTGTCAAAATTGTCCTTGACATTATTAATTTTACTGTATTATGTCCGACTGTAATAATGGTTGGCGACTGTGTTCTTAGTACCTAGTAAATATCCTATGGTTACTTGGATGCTGTAGTCAGGTTTAAATTAAACATTTCTTGTTTTTTTAGTTATCTGAAATACCCATAAGTTGTTAAAATGGCACCTGTTACAACACCTCTCAGACCAGGTCAGACAACAAACGAAGAACGTGTGTTGAAAAGGTAGGTTAGGTTTAACTGCTCGAACAAACTTCAAAGTAAAAACCAAAATAAATTTAGTTCCTTTTGTTTGATATAACATTAGTCAGATTGATAACTTTCACAAAAATATTATTTATTCATTTATGGCATTTCGCAATTTTTCTCACTTTTTAAATTAGCATACCAGAAGTGTAATTTCTTTATTTAATACATAAACTGTGGATATTTAAAAAACAAGTATGAATGCAGTAAACTGTATTTTAGTAGAAAAAATACATTCAAAGAGCCTTAAGGCTTAAGTAAACTCGTCTAATACTAGTAATAGCGTTAAAAAAGCAACAATATTTTAGTAATGATTAAATAATTCTGTTGACAGTAATTGATAGAGACTATTCTATAATCTAAGTTATAATACCTCTAATTCATGATCTTGTACTATTGGTATTATATAGAGGACAGAATTCAGAACATATAATGAAAGGTAAAAATATTTAAAATTGCGATTTATAACAAACCAACAAGAATTTGTACTTATAGTCGGGTATGTGATACTGTAAGTTGAAGTGTAACGTGATAACTCCAGTATATGAGTAACTGTTATAATGAGTTCTATCGTTGAGCAGGATCTTTTTTGATTACTTGGTAAAAATAATGCGAAATCCAGTCCACGTAATGATAACAGATTAGTTTTTTATAACGTTTCTACTGCCTATATTCACATTGACCCAAGTTGTATGCCGAAGTCACTAATAACTTTTCAACATAATCTCCGCAACTAACTGCACTTATGTAGGCCTAACTTCAAAAACAACGTTTCAATATAAACTGCAAGACATACTTAATGAACCTTGGTTGATACTTAACTTGCTGAGTAACTGAATAAGAGAATAGGTGCAATAAATTTAAGATCCTGAAGTGACTGACTGATTACTCACCAAATTCTCAATCACTACTTAAAAACTTTTCAATGAATACTTCACTGACTGACTAGCACTCTAACTGACTGCATGTTTGAATTTATAATTAATGTTCTCATCTATATTATAGTCGAATTCAGTAGGCCTTAACGTTATGTGCCTTCTAGCTAACAAATTGAAAATTTAGGTTACAACACCACCCCCTTCCTGGGTTGTGAAGTCCCTTGAATAACATTGATACAAAAATAAAACACTACACTAAACTGTCCATTCACCAAGTCATATTAGTAATCTTCTTTTCCAAGGCTTATTGAATAAAGACAGGACGGCTTCTTGGGCATTGTCATCACTTGCTGTCATATCACTGTGGGAGTTCTCCTTTGATAGGTAGTTGAGCGCTTCTACTGTTAGCTCTCTCCTAAGTTATACTTTGGAAGTGGTCTTAAGATGAAACCCTTGGAAGGTTGACTTTCTGCAGATAAATTCTTCTCTTGAGCTACCCAGTTGGCTGTTCTCTCACCAGTGTACTTCCAAAGCTGATCGTGGAGGATGACCTTTGACCTCTGCCTCTGGATTAGGTAAACTACACCATTGATTCTTTTATGTACAACATACTGTCCTTCTCAACACCTATTATACTTTGAGGTTTGTTCTTTCTTGTGACAATAATTGTTCAGCAATACCAAGTCACCTCGATAAAATCCAGTCCAATAAGCATTAACATCGTAACAGCATTTCATTTTATTACACTCTACTAAGTGTTTTCTGGTAAAATCATGTATGACATTGCACTTTTCAGATCCAAGAGAACTCTTCAACCACCAATCCCTTAGGACATGCCAGAGTGTTTTGTTCCATTATGCCCTAGTCACAAAATATAGATTTACTTCTACTAACTTCTTGTATAGGTATTTCACTTCTTGGTGGTACAATGATAACTGCATCTCATAAGTGGAAGCTCAACCTCCGGTATAGTATTTGCCATGTAGTAGAAAATAGAGATTTCCTGATCATATACTGAGAAACCAGTTGAAGATAGCCTAACCTCGCATCCACATCTTCATATGAAGTCAATTCCCAATACGCATGCTTCCTTGATGTCAGTTACACATAAATCACAAGATATATAAAAGCTTCATACAGTAAGGGTAGTTTCCAACTTTGTTTTGCTGGAAATTTATGTCCACTTGCTGCTCACGTTAATCTTTCTTCTTTCTTCATCTTTGGAGGTACTTTCCCACCTTTAACTAACAAATTGGGTCAAAACACTGTAGATGTAGAACCAGCATAACTCAACATACTGCAAGATTTTCCATCAATGAATCAATGGACAAGTTTTTATCAAATAAGAAATTTCTTTTATCATTTGGGATAGATGAAGTATTCCTTGCTGAACTTTGCCCCATAAATCCAGCTAGTTCTTCTCTTTTTGATGACTGGTTAGCTCTCTGTTTTTCATTTGATCTCTGAGACATCCTTGGATACTGTCTCCTTGGCTTAATAATAGCTGCTGATTCGTCCAGTCTAGGTCGTAATGGTCATATTTCCTACAATTATAACAATTCTCTCTTTCTAGTATCCTCTGGAAGGAGGAGTTCTTATTCTATACAGGCTTTAATCTACAGTTCCTTGCAACATGCCCATTCAAGTTAAAACGCCTATTTTCTTGTGGTTTATTTCGTCTATTCTCTGTAACTAGCTGTTTGGGTCTTTCATTTCGCCAAGATACTCCTGCAACTTTAATGGATTCTAGTTACATTGCCAACTGAAGAACATCCTTTAGAAATGTACACCTACTTTGCTTCAACCTAATTCTCATATCTTCATCTGTTATGGCATCTATAAATTGGTCACATGCCAACAAATTCTTCATTTCATATGGAGCATCCTGGTAAGATAACTGGGTAAGCCTTTTCAAATCTTCTGCAAATTCAGCCAAGGTTTCTTCTTTTCTCCATATCCTTTTCCAAAACTTCACTCTGGATTCTTCTTTCTAGTGTGCACAGATAACCCTTTGTATAGCTTTGTGCTTAATTACAAACAAACAAACAAACTTTCTGGTGTGTTATTTCAAATCTGTTGGATAAGGAGGCTAACCCTACTTAATAGTTGTTATGGCTTTCAGCTAGAAGTTTACTTCATGTTGTCAAAGCTGGTCCTTTTAAATAGGCAGCAAGATGAATATATGATTTTCATTCTTTGATAGATTGTTTAGATAGAGTATTCATGAAGACGAACGGCGGAAGACTTTCAAAACGTCATCCTCTACACTTGTGTTTCTACAACAGGCAGTTGCCGTATATTCAACAAAGTTCAATCATGATTTTCATTATTCCGTCCATTCACTATGGAAGTTATTTTGAATTGAACCCGAGATGCCTCACAAAGTACCTTTCCATCATAGGCCAGTGGTTTCTCAACTGAGTGCTGTTATTGAGTTGGCTAACTAAATTCTGGAACTGGATTTGGTAGTGTCGTATCTTTTCAATAAATTTCCTCCAATATCTGTATTGGATACAGTACTTATCAAGTTATAACTAGAAGATATTTCATATTAATTTATCTCATTAACAATGAGTGGAATCCCCGAGGAGCATTCTATTAAAAGACTTTGATTAATGTTAGTTCATGAATGGGCCCGGCATGGCCAGGTGGTTAGGGTGCTCGATTTGCAATCTGCGGGGCGTGTGTTAGAATCTCCGTCACACCAAACATGCTCTCCTTTTCAGCTGTGGGAGCATTATAATGTGACTGTCAATCCCACTATTCGTTGGTAAAAGAGTAGCCAAAGAGTTGGCGATGAGTAGTAATGACTAGCTGCCTTACCTCCAGTCTTACACTGCTAAATTAGGGATGGCTAGCGTAGACAGCCATCGTGTAGCTTTGCGCGAAAATTCATAACAAGCCAAACCAGATCATGAATGCACTTCCAAATCCAGAAATGATGTCAGCATACACCATTGATTTACTGGCACTCATACAAATCATAACCAAGGAAACAAGAATGACATTGGGGGATCTTTTTGATTCACTTGCACAACAAATATTTGTGGATTCCAGCATGCAAATGAGGTTCATCTTCTATCTTACAAATGTGACGTTAGTGAGTCAATCAAAGCTGGAGAAAGGGATAAGATGAAGTCAGTGGAGAGCTGTGGGGATTCGAATCAAAAGAAGGACTACAAAATTACCAGGTATTCTAAACGATTTTCTCTCGAGCAGCAAAAATATGACCATCTTGTTGAACATTCATGTCTGATTGATGTACAGAAAAGCCAGAGAAAATCTCAGTAGTACACCTTTGTTATCCGTCAATTACACCTGCAAGCCACGAGATGGCTCCATCACTTAAATCTGACCACGAGGAAGTTAATGGTTGAATACTTGTCCACTTTGAACACTGGAAACAAATGTCTCACATTCTCTTCAGGCACACTTTTTTGCGTGGATGAATTGTGGTCTCACAATGTAGAAACAGTTCAATACATATCACAGTGGCAAACCTTGGTTCTATACTGTGCAATCTGTTGCTACTGCAGGAGTGAAATGTGGTGCCAAAGCTCACGTGCTTGTAACAATATAATAGAGCTTTGTGTGTGAAGATGTAGTTGTGGATGTTGTGCTGATGTAGAATTCGACAGAGATGATGGTGATGAGCTGTAGAGCTTGTGTGTTTACAAACAGTAAGTTTATCATACACAGAAGTATGAACATGTGTTACACAGTAATAACTTTGTCCAAAATTACAGTAATTATTGGTATTGCCTCCACAATACATTATACTTTAGTTTTTGCTCCGTTGTAAATTGCTAACTATCACGAAGGTTGTAACCATTTCTATGTATTTTTAATAATTTGTCAATTGGGGCTCTTAAAATATCATTCCAATGTAAAACAAACCAAAAATGATTCTCTATACAACTTGATAGCAACCAAATGTTATTGGCCAGAGTGAAATAGACTTTTCGTTAAAAAAGGCATAATTATATAATTGATATTATTATTATTTTTTATGAAAGATGAATAGACAGGCATGAAAACTTTGTTTTATTCTGCCTTTTCTTCCAAGGAAGTTACTGAATAATGGCTGCCACTTTTATGCTG